AGTAACACTGGGTCACAAATGGTCACAAACAGTAAAAAATGGTCACAAATGGTCACAAACAGTAACAAATGGTCACAAATGGTCACAAACAGTAACAAATGGTCACAAATGGTCACAAACCGTAACAAATGGTCACAAATGGTCACAAACAGTAACAAATGGTCACAAATGGTCACAAACAGTAACACTGGGTCACAAATGGTCACAAACAGTAACACTGGGTCACAAATGGTCACAAACAGTAACAAATGGTCACAAATGGTCACAAACAGTAACAAATGGTCACAAATGGTCACCAACAGTAACACGTGGTCACAAACAGGAACACTGGGTTACAAATGGTCACAAACAGTATTAGACTGAAAACGCAAAAAATGCAGGTTACGAATCAATGGAAAAATACAAAATTAATAATGCTAAATAATAAACCCTCCATCGACGACGGTATTCCATCTCAAATAGAACAAAAGTTATTCTTAAAAGTTGTTACATGTGTTGGAGACTGTTATTATCATTGTTACAGACATGGAACTTTCCATTCTGCTGATAAATATTCAACATAAGTATAAGATCTCAGTCAAACAATAACAGTCAACAGGGGCCCCCACACCAAATATGCCTAAGGGCCCCCCTCTTCCTCCATTACACCACTGTATATAATGTACCATGAATGGCAAATAGAACATAACACAACATAAATATATCATGTAACGTCTATGTTTGGTAACTTGGGTTTTAGTTGACTATTAGTGCAAACGGTCAGCTTGGAAAATCATGATTTTCGGCAAAACAAGACACAGATACGATCATGCAGTATCACCCTGTCCCTGGCCCTGCTATTATCAGCCCAATTTAAATTCCAATTTATATGATATTTATTGCTGATCTTTCTTCTCGCGAAACTTTAATCTCTGAAACGCACTGGTGCAGTTTTAATTTGGCAAACTGCTTTGATACACCACCGGCAGCGAGATGTTTTGTTATCCTTGTAGTAGATACGTCTAAAGTATATCGTTTGCGTAATGTATTGAACTCAGACACAGGTCATTAGCTAGGTCACATTTAACCCATGCATATATATCCATGTTCGCTTGGTAATAATGCGAAATACCTCTCCTCTCACGAGGCATTATACATAAATTATAATGCGTCTAGTTTTGAGGCGAAGAATATTTTTGCCTTCCAGTATTCGACGCACGAACTAGGTAGTCTAGGAGCTTAGTTCTAACTTGGCCTGTTGGTAACATAACACCAGCCATGTTTATCGAGCTTATTTTAACACATACTATTCAATGTATTATATACTATACTATATGACTATATTAAAACAACATTGCGACATGGTTGTACTAATGTAACTATTAGCGCTATTATAACAGCCAGGCAACATTCATAAGAATCAATATTTTCGGAAAAAAATGCGCTTTTCTTGATTGCATATTTCCGTAGTCCCAGCGCGACTCTTGTTATTATTATTTCAAAGTTGTCATAGTTTTTGTTTTAATTAAACCAAAATTAAACTGTACTATAAAAGCAAATTCACTCTACAAAAGCTTTTATATTAATTAAGAAATGCACGAAAAACATGTATTAATTTTCAAAAGGCTTTTGCCCCTGTCAAACAAGAATGAGGGTTGATGATAGTTGGTGTACAGTCATGAATAAGAATTGTTACAGGGCCAGTGGGGCATTTCAAGCTCTAGATGAACAAAATAAAGGTTTCAAGAATATTCCAACTATATGTTTTAACTTACTTAAATATAGAATACATGATTGACCAAGATCGCGTGACTCCCAACTATCTTACTATATCATCACATCTTTGTCATCTCTCATGCACTCTCACCCTTTCGACTGGGCTTCAGGTCGATCAATATCAAACATAAATGACAAAGTCACAAAACAAATTAAATTGCTTACTTTCCCATAAACTATTCTCGAGTATATTGTATAAAACTTAAAAGTGACTGTGTATCTTAATTATTCTGCCTTTCGGACAGCAGACTATTCCCAAATGGTCATGGACAGCTTAGAATGAATTATACATGCAAATGCACATATTTCAGAGCAATCTGGATAATTTTCGTTTTAAAAACATTAAACTGACATCTTGTATATACGGAGGAGCGATCAACTTAGTAAAAGTTCCCGAAGTGTATTTTGCCAGAAATGACCAAGGTTTTCGCGTAGATTCCTATTGTAAATAATAATATTGCAGCGTTTCCCCGGAAGTAATTTTCGCACATAGCGATTGTGACCGTGTGACCCGTGTGACTGGTCACAAATTCCCGGTTCCTTTTGCACTCGCATATATCGAACATCAGATGCAATAAGCGCAGAAGCCCTGGGTACGAGGTTGCCTCAATGGGTTGCATATCAACAGGTGGGCAATTTGTCTGCGCATGCGCGAAGAAAATCAATATGGCGACATATATTAGGAGTGTTTCGTGAATTTATCTGGTTTTAAGCTGATAAAACAACATTTTAATGAACGAAAACTTTGTAATATTTAGTGGAAAACATTAAGCTATGCATTCCAAAGGTTTTAAATTGAAAATAAGTACTTTTGCTTTATTTTATTGCTTTTTATGCTTTGAAAACAGGCAAGCCCATTTTTTTGCAAAAATGTAATCTATTATTTTACCCATCATTTGTTTAATCTGAACAGAAATAGATAGAACACTTGGCTATATAAGTTACAAAGGTATTGTTAGCTGATCTGAAAAATTTCAGTATTCCTGGTACACATTTTAACAAAGAATAAAATGTAATTTCATATGCATATCAAAAACAATAGTTTTTATTAGAACAACATATAATAAGTTGTTATTTTCTATTTTTACAAAAACAAGTTTGGAAACAGGATTTAGCCCTCCAGTTTGATGTCATATTCCATTTATTTGGATATTTCAATAAAGAATGTGAAATAATAATTTAATCTTGTGCAAAATTTGATACCAACACACATGTAAACAGATATTATCACCTAAAAATAAAAGAAAACAGAACTTAAATTTATCATCTAATGCTATGAAAAAAATCTTAGATACTACAGGCATATAGTGAGCACAATTCTTTAACAAACTCATTAAAATAAGTTCAGTTATGCTATGATAAGAGGATGGCAATATATGACAACATCAAATGTCACCATATTCAGTGTCCAAAAAAAGTGCCGCGCGCATTTTTCATGGTCGTATAACTGGTATTGCCACAAACCCAGGTAAAAAAGCAATTAGAAAAACCTGGTTTTGGATGATGAGCATAGTCAAATTCTTGACTTATTCAACTTTCTAAGTTTTTCCAGGTAAACAGATTCAACATTGAAATAAGCCCCATTCGGGACCTCATAGAAACCAAAATATTGTGTATGGACCAGATTTTTTTCAATTTTCTGTGATTTACGTGACACTAGTTATAATTTAAGGGTCAACCAGTATTGTTCAAGACATATTTTCCTTCCAGAACACCTTTTCAAAATACTAACCCAAACATGTCAAAAATAGTGCACATTTACAAGGGCAATTTCAACCCTTTGGCACATTTTCCCCATGAATAATTTTAATTCTAATAAAAAGACTATAGATAAAACTTTGATTTAAAGCTAGTTTCAAGTGATGAGCATACCCTAATTTTTAAGCTATACCTCAAAGAAGATAGGTCATTTCAACATAAACATTGAAATATGGGTATACTGACAGCTCTGTCACACTTGTAGTTTGGCATTAACAGCTCTTCTGAAACATTTTAATGAAAATATAATTCACAAAATTCACATTTTCACTTACTTCTTAACATCTGTTTTAATCCAACTAGCACTGTAGGCACGAGCAAAATCTAGTGTTGATGTAAATATCCATTTAGTTCATGTTTCCCAGGTGAAAATATAGTCTATTCCAAAGCTGGATTTCGACGTACTTTAGCTTTTCAGAAACCGTTGGCCTTCCTCAGTAAGATTATCAACTGTTTCATAAACATATTTGATAGTAAACAGCTAAAATATTCTCTGAAAGTCTATATTTTTCACTCTTCGACGCGAAAATGGCAACTCCAGAAGAAATGAGCCGCTATTTTTGGTCAGCGTCGACAAATTGCCCACCTGTTTTGCATATCACATAGCATCCTCGTCCCCAGGCCCAAGCTCGGGCGGTCCTCACAGTGGCCCTGGGTCAGGCCGTTGATCTGCCTCGGAATTCCGACGCAGAGGCTTGGTCGCACAGGATATGCCTTTCTCCCTAAAAACATGGCGACCGCAATGAATGCAACGAACGAGGAAGACAGAAGCAATATATTTTGCACTTGCAAAAACAAATAATACTCAAATTAAGTTAAAGGAAGAGCAGAAAGAAGATATTCGTCAAATAGTAAATGGAAGGGATGTTAAATCGTTGATATACCAACTTTTACCTTCCATGTTCAACTACATTAATTCGAGAAAAAGAAATATTTCTGCCGTGTGAACAGAAACAATTGTAATCGTGATTTCTCCGTTAAATGCACTGATGGACGACCAAATAGACAAGCTAAAAACTAACATGGGTGTTAAGGCAGTTGTTTTACGCCATGATGATCATGATCAAGAAATGAAAGGTGTGTACAAAATACTTCATTTTGTTATTTTTGTATATAATACATATGTATAGACCCCTTGCCTTTTCTGGCAGGAAAATCTTTATGAAGCTCCCAATAGAGCTTATGGTGACATGTATTGAATATGCATCACAATATTATGGAGATCAATAAAGAACATTACATGACCTGTCTAGGAGATTTATCCATGCATGACAAGTGAAGTTCCATTTGACTAATCAGACATAGAACAGAGTGGCATTTATAGAAGTGACATTAATATTTAAGAGTATCATTAAGTTTCATCTATTCTGGATCACCATTCTAAGTAAAAACCAACTGGTTGGAAAGTTTATTGAAAATATAATTAACATTAAGCAATCACTATGATTGTTCTTGCCATGTTGGGGAAATGTTTCCCTTATTTTCTGGTCAGCAGCTATTAAAGTGGTATGCATTAAATAAATTTCTTTTTCTTTTTACAGCTTATGTATAAAAAAAGTATGGATGTAAGGCCTCAGAGGTTCCCCAACACATGAGGACAAAAATAAACAATTCAACACTGTAAAGTGTTGCAAAGTGTAGAAAGGCAAACAAGAACAATAGTCAAAAACAGAAACACCAGGCTAGTTATTAAAAATATTATTGCCCAGCTAATAATTCATAAAAGGGGCATATTCAAAAAACATTTGGTATATAAAAATATTTATTGAGTAATGTTTCATCACATTACAGGTGACTTGTTGCTTGTTTTTAATTAACCTAGAATAGTCAATAACTTATTTGAGGACTATGTTTTGAGGCAAATATTAACCCATTGAGCTGCAATGAGCCCCAGTGCTTCCTACTTACTTTTTTTTTACTTGTCTAATGCTAGACGGTTTTATTTGTCAATGGGGAAGCTCTGCAGCTTAATGGGTTAACAAAAAATCTTACAATGTCTCTAGTTAACCCATTGAGCTGCAATGTGCCCCAGTGCGGCCTACTTATTTTTTACTTGTCTAATGCCAGACGATTAAATTACTTGTCAATGGAGAAGCTCTGCAGCTTAATGGGTTAATGTAATTAACTTTACATGTCAATTATAGTTATTACCTAGATGGTTTAATAACAAAGGTCAATAAATATGGCATTGCATGGAGGTAGAATGATTAATTGGTGCTTGTGTACACTGCAATGGTTTTCTTTAGGTTATGTTTTTGTTTTGACTTGTTATTAAACCATTGGTGAAAACTATAACTGATCTGAAATGTTTAGTATAACCAATTTCTTGTATAAATATTTATATTTGTAATATTAGTATATATTTATTAATAATCGTATATATTTTTTTGCATTAAAAAATTAAGAGCGATGACTGATGAAGAACATTGTGTGTCATTTACTATTCCTACAGGAAAAATGTGAAATTTATGGTGAAATTTATATACTTGCCCATCACAGTGCAGAATTAGTATATATAGATAAGCACAAGACCAGAGAGAGTTGAGCCGTAGAGGAGGCTCACCTACATGTGACAATCCATGTGCCCTGTCCTGATGAGCCCTAAAGACAGTCTTTATTATTTTATTCTGTCTAATGCCAGACGAGGATTAAGACTAAATGAGACTGCTCCCTGCTGTCACGCAGTGGGTTAATTGCACTATGAACAGCTCCTGAGATATATAGTCAGCCCATTTAAGCTGCAATCAAGTGAATCAACCCTGGCTACTTTCTTATTTTACTCAATCTGTGAGATGAAATGTCATTGTCATTGTCTGTTTAGAACTATGTAAAACTACTCTATAGTTTTACACAGCTTGTTGGCGCAACAAAAATGTTGCCCACAAGCTGCCGGGATTTAAGTGAGTCACTGATACACTAATCATGAAGTAAATTTGGAATGCTACAATATTTCTAACAAGGGCGGATTTTCATTTTGTTTAAAAGGAGGGGTAGAAAAATTTCTGGTGGGGTGCAAGCAACACCACTCATTGAGCTTTGGCAGGGGTTAGGCATTTGGGTTAAAGCCTTTCACACAAAATGGGAGGGGTGAAGCAAAATTTTGGAGGGGGTGATCACTTTATTAGAGGGGTTTAACCCCCCCCCCCCAAATGAATCCCCATGATTTCTAACATTGGGAGTAGTGATGTCCAATTGGCCATGACACAGCCTGTGAGAAATTATGATCATGACATATTTTAGTTAGGAATGTAATATTGCATTGCTGAATATTGAAACATGACATTTAATTTTGAAGCTCAGTTCAATGATCTTGGTAAAAACAGATCATGTAATTGCACCCTTGACTAGTAAAATTGTCTGGCATTAGGCAGATTAAAATAATACAGTAAGGCATATCAAGACACATTGCCATGTGGCACTTGCAATTGTGAAGGGTTAACATATATGTATATGATATTTTTGTGATGTATTAAAGATGTATAATGTATCATGATAATAATGTCATCTTTTATTTTGCGGAAATTATATGTTTAATATACACAAGAGATGGCACTGAGGCATCAACATGCAGAAAACATGCAGAACAGCAAAATTAATTAGTTAATTATAATACCATGCATAACAACATAAATAATTATATGATTATGATAACTTTATTGAAGTGTAAATAAGTTTTATAGCGATTAAAATTATACATTTTTGTTTTTTAAATTGTTTACTGCTAATTATTTTTCAAAAAAGTCAAATACACCCTTCCGGAATGTATTTCACCTTGGATATGGAGCCTCATTTTCATGTATGTGGCATGAGTTAAAGTCCAATGTCTCAATCGTGAAAATGAGACTCTATATATAGCCAAGGTGACATATTTTCTGGAAGCATGTATTAAAATACAGTATGTTCAGTTTCCAAAGATATGTGTGTCTTGGTACTGTAACTTGCCATCCAGAAAGGAATGTGTCATTGTGGGATAAATCTGCAATAAACAAGAGTAGACTAATTATAACTAGGTTGTACAAAATCCACCAGTAACATAATTAGCATATGATCAAGGTAAACAAAAGAATGTGACCTAACTCCTTAGCTTAAACCAGGGGTATCAGAACAATTATATGAGTGCACTTATGCACCTATCAATGTTAACCCCCAGAGGGGGGGGGGGGGTCGGGCATATGTGGGGTATTTGATCATCAATTGCATCCCCACCCTGGGGATTTTGATTAGCATTTTGGCCCTGAGTTGGGGCAATTTGAACCGAATGACTTTTATTAACATAGTATTTCTTGCAATTTATTGCAAAATGGTGGGGCATTTGACCAATATTTATTGCCCGACAGTAGGGCATTTGATTGCCCCACCTATGCCCGACCCCCTCCCTCTGGTGCTTAACATTGATAGGTGCATTATAAAGATACATTGCTCATTCAGAGTGATATTTCACTGAGAAAACTTGTAAGAAAACAGGCCATCCTGGAAAAGAGGTTTATGTCTGTTTATAAAACGAGAGATCGGAAGAGCAC